GTTAGGTTAGTTGGGATTATAAAGATGATCTTAAGAGTCATCATGGTTTCATAGGCCCATTGTGTTACCATGTAACAACTAAGAGTCTTAAAAACTACCATAGTAATGCCTAAAATACTCTTGAAAGGTAAATCACAATTTGTAAAAGATATCTGTTAACAAATGTTAAGTAGTGTTAGTTTATACCTGGCTATTCTAAGGATACAGGTAGTCCTATTGGTCCATTGTGTTAACGTATATCAACTTTCCTTAAACCTATGGTCAGAGCCAAAATGCTGTTTAAACAGCAGATCTAGGAGCACTCTTATTGTTTTCTCCACAATTGGTATAGGAATGAGTAAATGGTGTACTCAACGATTTAGCCGTGCATAAGTTAGACACTAAAAAATAGAAATGGATCACTTTCATCGTTTTCTCCACAACTGGTATAGGAATTGTTTTATGGGGGACTCAACCTTATAGCATGGTCAACAAATCTACTACAAGACTGATATCTTTATAGATATATGTCTACTTATCGTTAAGTCTTCCCATCTTTTATTAAATTGCTCACCACAGAAAGATTAGAACAACTGTTTGCATGATGCTAACGATGTGTTCACGCCCTTTAGATATTCTGGATGATTGCCTGAAACTCCTCGTCTGGCCAGCTCGTCTTTATTTTGCTGTATAATAGAGAGAACCCAGAGTAGAGAAAATATAAACTGTGTCGATGTCTCAATGTCGTTGTTTACTTAAAGCGCACAGAGTAAAGATCCAGAGTTAAACTACGTCGACTATTCAATGTCCTTGTTTGACGTCATTAAAACTTTGTTTCTAGTAAATTACAGAATAAAATCATTTTAATTTTTTATTATTTTTATTTTTTAATTAATACATGAATTTTTTTCATAAATTTAAATGAAATTTTATTTTTTGAATTGTTTTTGCTGATTTTCATGCCGGTGCACACGAGCAAATTAAATGAAATGAATGAAGTTTCCATGTGAACCATAATGAGATCCGATGAAGATTGCCGGCGCTCTTGTCCAATAAAATTAATTACAACTCATTAAATTCAAATATAGAAATTATTCAAAATTAAGACACAGGATTCGAGTCAGCTATCAACGGCTTCAACATGGACAACTAATACGAGGGGACAAAAATTGTAAATGCACCCAAACGAGGGCCGGCCTTCACTCAAATAAAAATTATTAAAACATGTACATACATATAAACATATAAACGAGTAAAGAGTAGATGTATGTGTGTGTACTTTTTAGAACACATAACAGTGTAATAAAATGAAAATATAAATATACAACAAAAATAAAAGCCAAAACCAAAAACAAAAACAAAAGTTGCTTTGGTAATCGCATAAAAAGGCAGAAAATGTTGAAATTTTGCATAAATTTTTATTAAGCGGAGCACGAAATTTTGAGAAAACACATTTTATTAATGAGATGCAAATTGTTTTTCAAGTTGTCAGTTATTGTGTCAGTTTCGTTAAAATTACAATAAACACATGCATAAATATGCGGAAAGGCATACACACACATACATACAATCTTGTGCACATAAAAAACATGAATTATTATGAATTCGAGAGACCTCAGACGCGATTTGCATGCCATAGAATACGAGCATCTTGACGAGAATGAAACTGAAGCGGGCGAATATACGAATTGCCGCCGAATATGAAACGAACGTATACGAAGTACTTAGGCTATTAACAATGGGGAAACTTAAAACTGTGATAAGCCTTACGACATATGGCAATAAATTCAATGGCGGAAATGAAGAAAAGTGCTCCAAATTTCCTCTTTGAATTTTTTTACGTGAGAAAAACAAAACCCCTGCCTCCTACTTTGCATGTTTGGAAGTTTTGGCTTTTATTTCGCTTGTATGCTGAAATCGCTTCACTTGTTCTGCACACACACACACACACACACATGCACCATTTTGCGTGAACACAAACACATGAACTACGTGGTGAATTTGTTTTTGTTTATGGGTAGCAGCAACTGTTTATAATTTATTATTGTAAAAGGTACCAACGAACCGGAAAAAATTCGTACTGACAGCAGAATTTTTTTTAAGTAGATTTTCGGCGTGGAAATTGGCAGAAGCAATCTTGTGTGCTTCGAGTTATTACACGTTTTTCTATTGTAAACGCTAAAAATATTTAAGTAAGCAAGGAATACACTTGCATCCTACACTGACTGGATTGTGAGTTGTGAGGGGAGTTGGATAGCTGTCTCCATTCGCATCCAGACAGTAGCAAAGTGAGTGAGTACTTCATTATCAGCAACCTTCTACACTCATATGAGGCGGGGTAGTTGATGTGAATGGTGTGGGTGGTGTGGGTGGCGTGTAATTTTTTCAACTTTGTTTATTTACTTTTTTTAATTCTCCTTTGTTTTGACTTTATTGTAAAAGAAACATCATGGATCAAAATTTAACTTTGATGAATGAAAAAGAATGTTTTTCTTAATTTCATTTAAATTAGCTTGCCAACCTATTTTTTTATTAAATTTTCTCTTATTTAGGGTAATGAAGCTAAACAAGACACAAGTATGTGTAATTTAAAAAATGTGGAATTCTTTATCCGCAGATATTGTACTTAATAGAGTGGAGATCTGAAAGGTAAAAAATTTAAAAGGCAAAAATATTTTTAAATTGCAATTAAAGATTAAAAAAAAACTTTTTTTTACCAAATATTTTTTTTTTTCACAAAAAAAATTTTTTTTTTTTCAGAAAAAAAAACTTTTCTTTACAGAATTTATTTTTTCACAGACCCAATTTAAAAATTAATTTTGTTTCAAATATTTTTTGTCTTAAGTAACGGTCAGACTAATTTAAAAAAGGTGAAAAAGTAAATTTATTAAAGCATTTAATTAAGAAAGAAAATTGAAGGATAAGGCAATTAAAGTTTGGTGAAGATATTTCAATTTTTTTGTCACTTTATTCCAACAGCTGTATGTACCAAAAAAAAAACAGTAACCAGAAAAATGTAAATAAACCTGAAATCGGTAATATATAGGGTTATTTAAATCATTTATTCAAATCGGTTTTTATGGATACAGCTTACGACATCATTCCACACGTTCCTAACAAAAAATTTTAAAAGTGATATACATAAACTTTTAATTTAGATTTCGATTAATTTAGATTTTAAGTAATATTCTATAATTTTTGTAAATGCTCTATGGATTTTTTGAATCATACAGCACTTATAATCAATAACTTTTATTTTTATTTATTTTATTTAATTTATCATCAATTTTTTTTGTGTTTAACTATTGACTATATTAGGTTAGGTAAGATTTGGTTAGGTCGCCCAAGTGATCCTTAGGATCTACTTTGTATTGGCCCATTGTGTTACCGTATTAGAAACTTAGAGCTTTATAAACAACTTTGAACGTATAGTAAAACCTAAAACACACCTTTAAGGGAGGTCTCAACTTGCCTAAGACATATGTTACCATTTATTAGGTTAATTCAGGTTATAT